GGATCGGGGTCTGGATCAGGATGTGCGTTTCCCCTTGTTTCGGACCAATCATATTGAGCGGTAGCCATTTGGAGCCGTCTGAATAAATATGCCACCGTGCAATGACCCGTGCATGTGACCAACGACGGCAAAATCCTTTCACACGCTGAGCCTGAAGTCGTTGAGGTCAGAACTGAAACCGACTGTCTGAGATCTAGGAAGTTTGGTTTAGAAATAGACCCTCTACACAAGATCCTGCCTTCAGTTCTGAGACGCAGTCCAGAAACAAGTGATTACAAGGTTTATACCCTGAAAGGATTTCTAGGGGCCAGGAAGAGAGTCACACTGGATGGTCCGAATAACTGCTCACAACCGTCAGCATACGTGTGTTGGAGATTTAGCCATGCCATTCCACAGCTTGGGCACTGAAGCAAAAGGCGGCGACTGCCTTGCTCGCCTTCACGATGACAGGGCTGCTGGATGACTCTTTACTTTTGCTCTTCTTCCTGCAGGAGGCAACACAGAAAGCCAGGCAACCAACTGAAATTGATCTGATGCGCCCTCTTGTTTCGTGCTTTTCCTTTCTGATGCTGCTGCTACCTTCAGTACAACACAACAATCAAAGGGTGTGACATAATCCCTGGTTGATGCGGGTGTTTTTCTTGCTTGCTTCAGTGGGTCGGAAGAAGCGAACAGGATATCGTCCTGTCCTTCCAACACTCAAGTTGTCGGAGAATAATGGGTGTGCACTGATTGAACTTGTAGGCTTCACGCAGAAAAGGCGGCCGCAATGTTTCTGCTTCTTCAAGCCTTTTGGGTTTCCTGAGAGAGTCTTGTCTGCATTGCTGCTGAATTCCATGAACCCGCTGCAAAAACTTGCAAAGCCCATGACACGGTCCTGAACCTCAAATTCTGCAATCTGAAGATCCCCACAAGGAAACACCAACGCGGCAAGTTGGAAAAGTGAGGAGCTGATCACTTGCTGTTTCTTGCTCTGCACCCTCCAAGCTCTTCAAGCAAGCCATCGAGCAATCCCAAACCCTAGCAGAAGCTCACGCATCTACTCAGGCCTTTCAGCTGGACTCCGCTTTCGACCTACAGGGTGATGCGTGCGGATTGTGGCCAAGAGAGCTAAAGAACCCGGAAGATCAGTCAATGAAAGCACACCGCGTGTTACTTCAGAGCTCCAAGGACACCTTCAGCTGGGTTTTGCGGTATGCAATTGTGGGCCATTTTCCGCTTCCTAGCTGATAGAGCAAGATGAATAAAGCATGACATGGTGAAAGTCGTCGCCGCCATCGTCGCTGGCATCATCATCCTGTCGTCGTCATCAGCAGAATCAGCACCATTGGCAGCACCATCTTCATCATCATCATCATCATCATCATCATCCAAGCATCAAGTTCACACGCTGATACTGCTTGTAACAAGATTCTCTAAACAACTCAGGGCTTTAATTCAGGTCGCAGTTCACACGTAATTCAAACAGAGGCTGCTGGAAATCAATGGTCGCTTCCACAATATGAACAGTCGTTCGCAAACGCAAATTCGCCGCACAAGTAGAAAAGTGCTACTGTGATAGCGCACGTGCTTGGTCCTGAAGCTTTTGTTTACTGAACGCTTAGATTACTGATGCATCTGCAATCTGCCACGAGCGCCTCTACTGAATAGACGGCAGCTTGACCTCGTGCGAACCCTATGGATACTCTGAGAGTCACCTCTTGACTTGCCGGAGGCTGAGCGGTTCCGGCGTCGGGACCTTGGGGCTTGAACTTTGCAATTTGGACTGAGAGCAGTTTCTGTGCAGGTCTGACACTCACGGAGCTAGGCTAGCCTTCAACTAGCTCTGTGATGGTGTACAGAACGAAGGTCTTTCCCAAGAGTTATAAGTACAAGTCTTCTGTGTAGGCTCAGCGGCTTTACAGGGGCACCTGACCCAGCCGACTGATGTAGTTCAGAGGCTTTGGCAGCTCGTTGAATTTTTGGCTTAGGTAGCAGGGCCTTAAAAGAACAGCAAAAGTCAAATCTCACTCTCAGAGTTGCAGCTTCATCTGGGTTGCGGGACAGAGACATGAAACGACATTTCAAGTGTCAAGCCTGCAGGGCTGACAAACCAGGGTTCAAACATGGACCAGGGAAGAACGTGCTTAGATTCTAGGTGCGGAGGCAGAACAAGCTTGGAGTTTGTAGTCAAGGCCTTGGGTACACTGTGTCTTGGGAGCGAATAACTTCTCATGCGCAAAGCTGCTGCATGGCTACCCCCAGAATCCAGGCATCATCAGCCCCGAAGATCGTGAGACTAATGCCTGCGACCTGAAATCTGAAACTCCACGCAGCTGGCTGCTAAGCAGCGTCCTGCAGGTACAAAGACAAGATAGACAAAATGTCCCCCCGTCAAGTCCCAGGGTGCTAGTGAGAAAAGGGTCGCACTAAAAAAATCTACTCGTGTTGATAGTGACTGGTACTCTGTCTTCTGTCTCTGTATGGTAATTGTTCAAAATACTTGTCGTCCCCATAGGGTAGGTTCCCTTTTTGGCTAGGGTCTTCTTTCAAGGAAGGGACTCCCAATGATCCCTCCTTTACAGGGACCCTTAGAACAACCCCACATAGTATCAGCCATTTTTGCATTATCCCTATATAACCCCAATACATTCCCTATCATCCCCATATAAACCCTATATAATGCCTACATTATGTATTCAGTCAGACCTGTAGAGTGGACAGCTTCTGAGATCTTGACGAATCTCGTTTCTTGGGCTCAGCCTGCAGGACTAGGAAAACTTACACAAGATAATGGAATCTATATAGGGATAATGGAGAAGAAAATGCAAACTACTAGGTGGGGCCTCGGACTTCTCAGGAGATACGGCTAAATTGGGGTTCAGAGATCAGCTGGGTGCTATGGCTCATTGACATGGAAGGCTTCAGCCCGCAGGATCTTGGGTTCCAGCTTCTGCTCATGGGTGTATGGTTTTGGGTCAGGCTCTCCAGATGTGGAGGTGCTTGGTCATGTCTGCTGCTGATGAGGATGACGACGGTCCCTAGATCTTTGCTTGCACTCTCAGCATTCCGAGTCAATCTACAACATCAGCTCAGATTCTAAAACCAAATCTGCGGCTGCACACCACTAGCATTGTGGAAAGTCACCGACCTTCTTGCGTCGCATGTGATCCTGAGACCTTAAGACCACTCTCCAAAAATTGTAATCCTCCAGCGGTCGCCTTGCGCTTTGAACCGCTACGCTTCCTGGATCGGCTCTTCTCCTGCGGACACTGCCCAGCAGCAGGAGGAAGAATGTACACAGCCCTGAAATGCTTAGTGCATCCGAAAGCTTCCAATTGTGGGCTACGGCAGATGGCCCAGCTGCGAGTGATGTCTGACTCCAACTGTCAGGTCTTGAGGGTCGTTCTCAGGGCAAGTTCCGGTGTCTCATGTTGGCAGGAAATATTTGTTTGAGAGACTGGTGTCTCGAGGCTGGAGCGTAGATGGCTTTAAAGAAGCTAGTCCAGGGGTATTGAATTTTGCCCGGGTGGCTACCTCAATCCTGCAAGGCTGACACGCAAATGCAGCTGTGGGATCCATGTAATGGCACTGCAGCTTCAAGGTTCGCAGCTTGAATAGCATCTTGCATATTAAGTCAGAAATCAGCCAAAAGTGTCCTGCAGATCATGCACAATGAGCCCATCCTTCTTCTTGTTGCGGGAGCGGCTGCGGTTCTTCTTTCGCCGAGACCTCTAAGACTCCAAGAATCCACGGCAGCTATCAGGAAAACGGGTACAGAAGGATCCACAACCGCATGGTTCACAGGGGAGGGGAGGGACTTGAGAGGTAGTATCAGATGTGAGCACCGGGGATTAGAGAACTGCTAAGCGCAACGTGTCCAAATCACGTGTTTGAGATCGTCTTCTGGCTTCAAGCATCCTTTCCTTCCTGATGCTCAACAGCAACGTGACATGAGGACGCCTTGGCTTAAATTGCAGCCAAAGGCTTTGGTCACTATAAAGGTTTAAGCAGCCAGCTGGCGGCCGGTCTTGCATGCACATGGCAGATGTTGTAAGTCTGACTACGCCTTTAGCATCGATTCTCTCATGAGCTTGAGTTTGGCACAGACTCATATGTATTCCTTCACCTAGCGATGGTGGAGCAGTTCCAGGCCACCTAAAAATGCGGTGGGAATTACCTGAAATTTCTTCAGTGGAAACCCTGACTTATCCCTTCATACAAGTATTTGGGGTGGGTCATGAGGTCACTCCTTCCTGAGCTTCCCCCATGAGGCCTCAGGACTTCTTTGGCCCCCAAACCCTAAACTCAAGCCGTTTGCACGCCTTTCTCAGATTGCCGACAAATGAGAGGTGTCCAGAAGAATTGCTTGACGTCTTCCCCACAGTTCACGACAGCAGAGGAGAGCACAAACAAAATCGTCGCCAACACCATATCAAAGAAAGGCTGATTCCAGTAAGACTTTATTAAAAGAATTGTACAAAGGTCAGACAATTTTCTGTTGCTTGGTCTTGTCTTCGCGTCCTTGGTCATCTGCGTTGTAGCCTCCATCATGCGCGAACCAATCAAATTCCAACATTGGGTTCTGCCTAAGTAATTCCGGCTTGGAAATGTTTGTGAGAAACTCCCTTGTCCGAAATCTGAAGATGACACTGTAGCGCACATGCGGTGAAGTGTTGGTACCGATGCGGTGGCAAAGATATGGGTGCACCATGACAGCGTCGCCCACAGCAAGCTGCACTTGCAGTGGCTCACCCGCATCTGGTCGTTTGTGCTCATGGACCCGGCTTTTACGGATTTGCGAGAAATGCCAATCGATTACCTCTGGCCTGCGATGCGAGCCCGGAAAGATGGTGAAGTTCCCACGGTGCGGAGCAGTTTGGTCCGAAAGGGCCACCTTGCAAAGGAGGCTGAAGGGCAACGGAGACTCCTTGCCTGTGCCGTCGATGTGGAAGTGATCTCTGCTGTAGTCACGGTGTACCACTTGCAATGATGCCTCTGTGAGCTCACCGTTCACCTTCTCCAAGCGATCTACGACAGGAAAGCGTACCGCGAGCTGTCCTGAGCCGGGCGCCATGACCCTGCCGGAGCCCAGGAGCTGCTCTGCCGCAGCACTGATGCAAGTTTGGCTCACAAGTTGCATAATGGAAGGGTGGCTGCTCGACCGCAGTTTCATCTTTCGTCATTTGGCTCAGTCACAGCATCTGTGTCAAGAACCCATGCGGATGGGCCCTGGCCCACGAAGTTGTTGATGAACGCGAGGGCATCATCCACAAGCGCCTCAGGAACCACCTGCCTCAGGATCACGAAGCCATCGCTGGCAAAGGCCGCGTATTGATCTGGTGTCAACCTGAAGTTATCAAATGGGCCGCTCACATGTACTGGTTGAAAGAACCAGCGCGCGGATGGATCATCCGATGACCGGGCAGCTGCAAAGTCGTTTCCAAAGACCGTCAGATACGCTGGCTCAGCGTCATGCCCCAACGCCCGCAGTGCAACCCCTGCCACCTCATCACGAGCAAGCACGAACGTCGCCCACTTACCTTGCCCCCCCTTACCATCCACGGAGCGGTCCGCAAGAATTCTTAAGCAAGTTGGGGTTTTGCTGGCTAGGCTCACTGCCGCGTCCTCCTTGAGCATTTCGAAGCTAAAGGCCTCGAGCGATGGATCCGCCTCCAACTTTGCCAAATGCCGCGAAGAGACCCTGTGAGCTCTGAACGTGAAGGGTGACGCTTGTTGGGTGGATGAGTTCACCAGTCGCACCACCTGGAAAATGATCAAAACAAGCACAACAATCTAATCATCCTTAACGGGACCGTTTATCATGAATCCTTTTGTAGCATATATCTATATATAAATATAATGTGCATAAGGAAACCCTAAATCCTAAACCCTATCCATGGGGTGAGGGGCCCCGCACTTAAGCAACGCAACAACAAGTTTTGGTTGGTTTAACCCATCTAATCCTATGTATCCCTGTACACCCCTGTATAAACCCTATATTATAACACAATAGAATCTCTGTAATGACTGGTTTATAACTCCCGCCTGTCCATCATGAAGCTCCACCTCCAGCAACGCCATCCAACCGCCAGGAGGAAAGTGAACTAGGGACGATCTGAATACTACCGCGGGTTTATTGGGCTAAATAGCGGATTTTTGGTGGAATAAGGCTTGGGCATCTGAATACTGTCAGCATTTTAGGAAGTGTGAGTGTCATCTGTCAATCAGGGGCCATAGGATATTGCCTGGTCTTGACTTGGGTTTTCACCCCACCTGGACCTAGACCATCTGAACACTGTATGGAAGAGTTTGACTGCTTTTGGGAAATACTCTGTCCATGTTGGGGCAAGCTGGTTTCCCGTTCCGGTTCATGGAGCCTACATCAATGCTTCTTGGCAGCCACAGCGCTTTCAGGATCTAACGCGTGGCAAGTTTGCTGCGGGCCCTTGCCAGGTCCACCCTACGGCCACTCTAGAATTCTTTACAGTGCTATGCAACCTCTGGTGCTGCTTTGGACTCCTTCCTTGAGCCTGACCTGGACATGCGCTTTCTGGAACTTTCTGGCAACATTGGCGGGGCCTCAGATTTTGCTAAAATCATGTTGAGATCTATTTGTCACGCTTACTTGTTGTTTCTACCGAATGGAAGAATTCATCACTGTAGTATCTCCTAGGCGCTACGCGCTACGCAATGCGGAAGTCTATAACAATAGTTTTCATGTTCATGCCCTACTAACAACCGGCAAGTGAAAAGGAACCTCCTGTTTCTGCAGAGCTCAAACAGACGGCTCTTCCATTGAGCAATCAACGCTTCATCATACAAGGACAACGCGCGATAACAAAGAGAACAAACTTAAGGGTCCAAATAGCTGCGTGTAGGATGTCGTACCTGTCGTTAGCACTAACTGCAACTGCAGCCTGAAGCTCAAGAATGCTGCACTCCCTGCATTCGATAATCCTGTTCAAGCGTTCTCAAGAACTGTGGGGTCGCACAACCCCTAGGTTGGCCCCGCACTTCTTTTTTTGAGGGGAGAGAGTTTGAATTCTTGCCGGACAAGTGCTGCCGAATCATACCATGCGGAGCAGGATTGCAGGATTATGCTCACACTGCTGCCAATAATAAGAACCTCCGTCTGTTCCTTGCAACTATACCCTTTCAACATATTTCAACTATCATCGTTGCTTTGATGGTCCCTGTTAGGCCGTCACCAACTGGATCGCACGGACATTTCTCAAAACAACTTCCAACAAATATTGAGAAACTCCCGTATCTGACAAAGCAGACAAGGTCCGTGGCGGCCTGCTGCTGCGTGATCGGCGGCTCTTGGACCGCTTCTTCCGATCTTTGTCCTGAGGCACTGGTGGGTTCAACAGCTGAGGGTCCAGGTTGAGGCTCAGTCTAAGGGTTTGGGGCTTCAATGCACGTGTATACACGCGAAGAAAGCAATGCACATCATTCTTGCTCCCGGCAACTTGAGTGTTGTTGGTAATGATTCTGGAACTATGCCGGTTTCGAACCAACAAGGGTCCCAGCATGTGCAAGCTACAAATGCAGGTCCCTGACATGAAGCCGCTCAACGGAACCGACATGCTTGAGAAGAAGCCAGCGATCTGCGTGAGATAATGGAAAGAAGCACGACGACTAGCTACTGCATACTACTGTTGCTGGTCATTGTCAAGTTCATTGATATCATGTACTCAGAACCCCAAACTAAACCCTAAACCCTGAACCCTAAACCCCACAAAAAAAAAGGGACTCAAGCTTTAGGCCGGCCTTGGGCTTTCATACTTTGATCAAACACATGCAAGCGAGCATCTACAGTCCCATCATCCTTGAACTCTACAGCTACCTTGGCCATCCTATGAAAGGGCTCCAGATTCAGACTTTAGATGGAATTTGGGATGACAAGGCTGAGGACCAGGTTGAGCATGACTGGCCTGCACGGTTCCAAAGTAAACTCTGACGCAGAGCCTTGACATTCAGGTATCACGAGATCAATGAGCGGACACAATTCGCTGAGCCAGAGTGCCTAAAATCATGGCGAGAAGCCTACCAGCCAATGCATCCAGCTAGCACTGGCCTTGTTACGATCTTTGTCCTTATCCTTTTCTTTATCTTTCTTGTCCTGGCAAAGCAGCTGTAAGTCATCAGGAAACAAGCCTTCCACGGCAACCTGCTGCCCTGGTGTTTGGAACATCCCCTAAATGTGTCAGCATGCTGCTTTTGCTGCTACGTGGTTGCGTACGCATATGTAAGCCTAAATCACACCAAGACAAGTATAGTGAGTGTGGCCAGCAAGAGGTTCAGATCTCTCTCCTTGTGAAACATTGAAGGGACTTTAGAGTTCTTGGCGGGTGGGAATAGCTGCTCTCTATTTGAACCAGACAGCACCACATCGCAGCCTCGTCTCGCACTGCAGCTACTGCCCGCTGATGCACCAAGCGTGGCTACTTCCTTGCCTGCTACGATTTGGCCTCATAATACCGCAGCGGCACCTTCGCCTTTTCCTTCTCGCTGTCTTTGCCGCGAGATCTGTCGCGCGACTTGTCCTCCCCACACTGGCCATGCTTATCGTTGCCGTTTACCAGCTTATCTTTGCATCAATACCCGCAAGCGTGTTTCAGGTGCGAGCCCTCAGGGTTTGCAGACATGCTAGGAAGCTCACAAATGTATGCTGTGCAGGTCTCTATAAGTATACGCACACATACAGATATTCATACGCATACACGTATGTCTATTTGCATGCATCTATGGAAGGCGGAAGGCCAAAGGTCTCGGGTTTGAGAAACAGGCGGGTCCTTGTCCTTCTTCTTTTTCTTCTTCACTTCTGCCGAGGAAGACCTATTGCAGCCGCAAGTGGCCGAGATTGTCTGCATTGTGGCAGATCGAGTTTGTATGTTTGAGGACATGGAGCTTGTAGTGGCTTGCCCGTATAATGGTACCCTCCTCATATTAAATAGCTTCGAGGGGCGTCGTATCCTCAAAGAGCACTGCTTCAAAGCCTAACAATGAATAAGAGGGTTCTGAGGTCATTACAATAGGGGGGTCGTTATAAGGAACCATGAACTATTCCGTACAAAGGAATGAAACATCCCCTTCATTTCCTCGCTGTTGCTTTTTATGCTTTCGCTGAAGGACTGCACAAAAGATCATCTTTGATGCTGATTGTTTCCTTGACATGAAGTTTCTATAGTTTTCAGGGAGTTCATAAAGAAGAGTCTACAGGAAATCTGATTCATTAATTGACTAACTAGACTGAACTAGTTCTAGCACTTTTCTTTCCAATTCGTTCCTACAGAAATCTAATTTCAATTGCGGATACCCTTTCCTCCTAGCTTCTTATTGCTTTTATAAACGGCGTCGGCAAAAAGAGTCTCAAGAAAATCTGATTAATCCATGAACGAATCAGAGTTGATCAGCTAATGAAGTAGAATGAGCTAATGCATTAGAATTTACTCAAGGAAAGCAGGTCTAGTTAGTTAGCGGGCTAGAGCCAATTAGGCCGCAGAATGGCAAATATTACCTGCAGGAGCCCGGATTCATCTTAGGGGGAGGGGTTTACTTGTTGATCGAAGCATAGCTTCTGCAACACGATGCGAAAGCAGTGTTGGTGTAGTAGGCCCGTTCAAGAAAGCCCTCAAAGTAAAGCCATGCTTCTGCAGAGCAGCCAGCAATTTGATGAAACAGTCCTCATCCGACACGCATCCCGCCCAGTCCTAGTATGAAGGTGTCTTATCAGCGGTGGAGTCAACGCCGGCCTCCAGAAATTCTGTAGTTCGTCCTACAAAATATTTGGATCCTTCATGATCCTTCCAGGACTGTCACGGAATCATTCAAGAGCTTTCCGAGTCCTCTATCAGGGGCCTCAAAACCAAAAATTCTCAAGCCGGTGTCCCTAGGAAGAGCGTGCCAATAGCAACAACATGTGAATGATGTGACAACAGCTTCCCATGCACGGTGCCAACATCCTGTTCTGGAAGTCCCTCCCTTGAAAAAGATCCAAACACATCCCCTTTCACGGCAAGCGCCCCATCCCCTGATAAACTTCTTATCTGGAAAGCCTACAACCCGAACCCCACGGCCACCCGGAGGACGCAGCTTTCTTTCTTTCCTGCATTCAAATACAGCTGCATCTGTGGTGCTGCGACTCGAGACGATGCAACTTACTACGAC